GGCTTACCCTTGTGGTACTTGGCGTTGTCCATGACAAACACCGCAGACCCCCATCCGAGTTCTTCGACTTCGTCCAGCAGTTTCTTGAACCAGTCGACAAAGTAGTCGTGGTTGAACATGGAGTGATAGTCCTCCACCTTCTTGCCATTCTTCTTGCCGCCAACAAAGATGTCCAGGCCCAACAGGTGCGACACGTCGGAACCATCGTCCAGTATTCCAGCAACGAAGCAGTACCGACGGCCCTTGTGCTTCGGCTTTGTCGTCGCGTCGTCCGTCGGGTCGTACAGACTGTCCGCGTGTCGACTGTAATGGTGGTGGATGAAACTCTCATCCAAGTAAACCACGGGTCGTCGGGGGGCATGCGTCACCGTCGGAACCATAAGGGCAACATACGCGTCCCTTGCCTCTTCATGCGCCTTGGTCATGCGATAGCTGATGGTGCCCTTGCGCTTGCCGCGTTCGTATCCTTGCTGGGACAAAAACACTTGGACAGCACGGAGACACGCAGCATAGTCTTTTGGGCAACACGGATCGACCACGACTACTCCATTCTCCAAGAGGTGGGCCAAGACGTCCTTCCCAACTGTACGTGTACGCGTCACGGACCGATCTCGTATGAACGACCGCACCGTGGCACGCACAGCGTGAGTGTTTGGTACTCTGGCCTTGTGGTACTTGGTGTTCGATGGGGGGTCGACAACAGACAGGTCTCCGGTAGCTAACCACTCAGCAAGGACCGCTTTGACTGTCTTGGGAGATCGGCCCAGCAGACGAGCAATGGCAACCGAGACGTTCGTCACATGCTCCTTACGGAGAGCGGATTGAAGCCAAAGGTTGTCCATCTTCTCGTCGTACGTCAGGCTACGCCTGCGGCGTAGCCTAACAAAGGCTTGGATGCGATCGACGGTATCGGCATCCATTTGTACTGTGACAAAATCCGTTTTCCCGCTGTAAGTTCGTCAATTTTTGTTCTGTGGTCCTGAAAATTGCGGGAATCGATAGAACCAATCAGTGCCGTCATTTTGGTACCAATTGGGTTGAAATTGGGGCAGAATTGAAAAAGATAGATCAAAACGAGTGAAATAATGTGTTATTCGTACCGCTATTTTGACACAGCCATCATAAAGTTACAAAAGGTTTGTCCTCGCGGTGAGATTTAAATAAATTCCATGCCTCCCAAGTCTTTATACATATTTGTTGTCACAAGTTATATTTCGTCGTGGGTCAATTTTGTATTGAACGATGTACTCTTTCCATTGTATTGTGCAATTTATTGGGTCTCCGAGGCCGTACTGTTCGCAATCGAATTCAGGAAGTTCAGACGAAACAGATATACCAAAAATCGTCGAAATTGGCCTAGTCGAACACTAAAAACCTCTTCTGGTCCCATGACCTCGCGGACTGTTAATAAACACAAAATATATCAAACCTCTGAATTTTCAGACTCATCTAACGCTACCCCACAAAGGACATTTCGTCCAAGACAATCGACAACAGTGAATGGCATCAGTTTCAGCACATACATGGACACGTTGTGTGTCCCATCACACAACACAAAATCGCCGTACGATGATGCGTACTTGATCATTTGGGGCTTCTATATTGGCGAAATTAGCATATATAAAGTCATGATAAATATTACATATAAATAATACCTGCATGACAATGCTCTTTAACTGCAATGCTGACGTCAGGTTGAAATGGAACACACCTCCGGTGGCTTGCATGGCATATCCCATTTCAAAAAATCGTCCCATACTATCAACATCAGGACCAAGATGCAACACACGCCCTCTGTCCTTTAAGCGAGACATCAAACTAGGGCAATACATCCGGCCCGGATACAACGCTTCCATAATCTCACGCACTTTGGAAACGGGCAAGTTGAAACGGCCAAGTCCAACTACTCTGTCGATTTCATCCGGCTCCAATTGTTTTTCAAGCGACAACAATTGCACACCATGTCCAACTACGGTCATTCCTGCAATACTGTGGTTGTGCGACAATCGTGACATGAAAAAATAGTTTAGACAACAGTTACATTAAAGTTAATTGACTAACCTATGGACGTAATGGAATAATTCAGATTTGCCTTGTCAAAAAGTGAACTTGATGTGCCACTGGCACGTCGACCGGCCACTGCACACTTCTTCCTTGTGCGTGCAGTATAGCGTAGAGCGCCGCATGATTGAACCTCGTCCGCCGTGTACGGGGTGGGGGTTTTTTTTGGAGAAATTCTTTCCCGTCCGGGAGACTGTGAACCCTTGTGCGCGTGCCCACGCCTGGACACTCGTGATGAATTTATTTGCGTCGATGATTTTATGGTGCATAACGAGCAAGTCACCGAACGTCGACACGGTGCTCTGGGTGGTTGCATTGGGTCTGGTGGCTTTGTCCAACCCCATCCTGGCCATCCATTGTGTGTTCGCTGCTCATCCCACTGCCTTATTTTGAATGTGAGCATCGCAAACTCGTCGAAAGCGTGTGCGGACCATTCAAACGATTCATCCGTATAATCATTCGGTATCCGGATGTTTTGAGATCTATACATAAACTTTGTATCCTATTTTTGACAATAACCTCAAATAAGGATACATGTCCGGATAAAGCTTAACCGGACCATGCGGCAGAGGCGCATGCGCCTAAAACGAGAACCCCCCGCGGTTTCTGGTCAAAATATCCACTCCACTTATCGGTCAATCCTTTGACCAGGCGCTTACCGCTCAGTGACACCGCTCTATTTATTTTAGGAAATACTGTACAGCCGTTGTACCACTAGGTTGAATACACTGGTCAATATTAGATTAGACAGTGTTGTATAATAAATTTGCACCTGGATTTGTGGAGATGCCAAGGACGACTGTTCGTGTTCCTCTATCAGTGTCCATTCTCCACGTCGTCCTAACACCATTGGTCACGACATGTAACTGACGTACAAGAAGACGTGAGCGCTTGCTGCCCAATTCAATCATTGCATTTTCCGCGAGGGACACATCCGCTTGAGCTCGCATCAATATCTCTTTACGTTTGAGCGAAAAAGAACAGTTTCGCATCCGTACCATCCGGAATTGGAACTGTAAACACTTTCACACTCAAAGCGCGTTGGGCAATTGCATTTTTGGCTTCTATTGCAGCAACAAGATCCGCATGCGCCTTGGCAGTATTTACAATATCTCATTTGAAAAATATATATCGTAGAAATAAATATCATACAAATAAAATAATATATATTACCCTGTTGCGCATGTTTTGCCCGTTTTGATCCAATTGGTCGCTTCTCCTGCGAAAGTGCGATTGCACTGGTTGCTGCCAAAACACTCGCTGGTACCGCGGCCACCCCAGTTCCATCGCCAACAACATTAAATGCACGCTGCCACTTCGGTTGGTCCTTGAGGATCTCCCAATATGAACCAATTTCGATGGTGTTTGCTTCTTTTTCACCTTTTGCGGTTTAAAATACTCGTGGGCGTCGGCGATGTACTGCTCGTTTTTGTATCCAGAGCGAACGATCGATGTCGTTAGTTTGAGCGCCGAGGCAAATACAGCCACTTGTCTGTTGATTGTATCTCTCCAATGAATGTAGCTACCATCACCAGTTCGATAGTATTGGAAATGTTACCGTTGTCTTCATGTAGCAAATGATTTTGTCATACACTATGCCTCTGTGTGCATTCAGGATTACTGTTGTATGCTGCAGCTACTAGGGCGTGGAAATGACTTGCAATTTGATCGTTTCCGAAGTTGGGATCGAGGTAGGCACTCACTGTCAGCCATTCGTGATACAGCTGTACTTGCTCATGTGGGGTGAAGTTCCGGGAGCGTTCCTTCATGGCTTGTTTTGCTTGAAATGGGAAACTCAGCCACGAATCGATCGAGTCGTAGATGATTATGCTTAGTCAGTTGACTTACTGGAGTTCACAGTCTGCACACCAGCAAAAATTCCAACAAATTTACTGGAATATTGTTGGAGTACTGGAGTCCAGTAACTTTTTTACAGGTAGGGGTAGGATTTTTTAGAATTCCAGTAAATCGCCCAATAAAGTTATTGCGATCTGAGAACTGCTGGTACCGGTGCAGATGGCTCTAATAGTACTAACTTACTAGTATTACTCTGCAGCGTACAGCTGCACAAAGCCACTCATGTCGTCGTCCTTCACGAAAAGCACTTGTTTTTGGCCGGACTTGGCCATGGGCGTAAGACAACCAGTCGTAATGGATGAGCTCGTTCGGCTTTTCCGCGTGAAGCGCCAAGCCCAATGGACAGGGAACCATTAATAGTATTAATACTTCGTATTGATATATCCATTTTTAATAATAGTACTTCGAAGTACTACTCTGTTCCGCGAAAAGAGTCCCATTTTTTATCTTGATTAAAGTATGCTTTGAATTGAAAATCATCTTGAAGTTTGTATTGAACTCCCAGATTACATGATGCGTCTCAAAAATTTAATGACCATTTTATTAAAATTACTCGACTACTGAACTTGGGAATTCACGGTGCTCAGGAAGGCTTGGGCACTCCGGTGGATTGCAGGGTCACAATTGACATTGAACAAGGACAGGTCTTTTATGGACGCGTCTTTCCTCATGTGCGGAAGCTTGTAATCGTTCTTTCCCATGTTTTCAAGCGTCTTTTCCATCACCTTTTGCAAAGTAATGAAGGTTTTAGACAACGTGTCAACAGGCAGCTCATGAAATGAACTGTTTACAGCATCAACAAGCTCCTCGATGGTTCGAGTGACCTTTTGACTTTGTAAGCTTTGGATCGAGTTAAAGTATCCCAAATCAAGGATATTTAAGTCAGGGCTGTTTGCAGGCTGGTTGGCCGCTTCAATACCCTCAACACCATACTGTAGCAGAAGCTGCGAAGTCACACAGTTATGTGGACTTGCATTGTCTTGCTGCAAGTATATTATTTTACTCTGATCCCCCAAAGGGAATTTAGATTTTATCGCCGGCACAACATTTTTCAATATCATGTCGCGATAAACATCAGCAGTAACCGTCTGAGGTACAGTTACAATAGTGCCTTTTGGACGATTCTTGCTGCCCCGTTTCGCCGGCACCTTTTCAATAAATGGCCAAACGCCCAACTTCCCGTCAAACATAGACTTTTTGTGAAAATCATATCTTGGCCGAGCCACCGCAGCCAAAAACATAACCTTCGTGATAAATCGTTTCGACTTCAAATATCTTGAGGGGAGGACTTCATCTTCATATGCATAATATCTTTTCTTTACAGTCGTTAAAAAAAACCACTTTTCATCAACATGCACAAAATTGTGCATATTGGAAAAAGTAATTTTCTTCGACGACTGAAAAAGAAAAGACATTGCATGCTTCACGCGGCTTCTTTCGTTGTCTTCTGTGAGAAACGGCCTCGAGTAACTTGACTTGCTCTTGAGTTGGTCTTCTTCGGCCATGTGTCGTACGAGGGTGGTCTTGGGGATACCTGAGTGCTCCGCAACGGAACCTAGAATCTGGCGGGCCACCAATGGAACAGCCTTGACGGCAGCCCTGATGTCGCTTGGGCTGCGTTGCACTTTTGGGCCCGAATTCCCTATCATAGTACAATTGTTAATGTTAGTCGATATTTGTACAAATTAATACCAAAACGTAAAAATATTGAAATCGAGAGGTTTTACCTTTGAAACGTGCGTTGACAACAGCAACAACGCTGCCATTGCGGAGCGACTCTTGTCCACGCTTTCAGATGCGTGCGACCGTCTTCCAATGACACTGGAAGGCGGCGGCGGTCGTGGTGTACTCTCCATGGGTGATGCGGCCGTTGTTACTGCGCCCAAGGAGCGTCTCATAGATGGCGCGACGCTCAAGGTCGGAGAGCTTGCGCTTGTCGTGGTTTGGCTGGTGGGGGGTTGTAGGACTTGGCAATGGTACAGGCAAGACGACGAAGACGACGGGAGCAAGAAGTGTATTGAGCACGAGGTGTAAAATTGAATTTTGGCTTATCAGCGGGTCTATGATCGTGTAGCGTGAATGAGCACTTTTTTTTTCCCGCTGTAACTTTTGAGGCAAAACGATCTGGAAAGCGCTCAAATGAGCCAATCAAAGAGGAAATTTCGCGCTTTTTGGTAAGCTAATCATATTGCAATGAAACGCAAAATTAGAAAAATTCCGCCAATCCAAGTGTAAACCGGACTCTCTTAGTGGACCAGAGTAGTATTCCTTAAGCTATTGGATAAAATTTGAACCAAAATACCAGTTTGAGTAATCACGTTTCTCTGGCCCTTCAATAACAATCGTTGCTTTTTCGGAGCAGTACGTTGCTTCCTTACGAGACTTCGAAGCGGAGTCAGGATTGTGAATTGACCTGTGGCGCAACCAGTTTTCAAGGTTTATTATGCGAACCAAAGCCAATCCTTTGAATGACAAGAAGCTTGGAGCTTCCGTACGGGGTTGGATCAGGTTTTCATGACATTTTCAGGGATACAGATCCATAGTGGTAATGTTATGGTGTTCCTCAAAAGCATTAGAATGAACTCGAACTGGCCAAAACCATCCCAGAAGAATTCCACGTGGCCGGTTTGGCCAATCAAACACTGTTCTCTTGATGTCTGGAGCTCGGATTGGTCCACGGATGAGGCTCGTTAATTTTCTCATTTTCATCGACCAGGTCAGTCCAAGATCGATCCTTGGCATCCACAGCATCCAGCACCAGTCCTCATGTCGTCGTCGTCGGCCCACGATACTCTCTCTAACGTCGATATCTTCCGTTTGATGGTACAGCTGCAGCACGGGCTTCCTGGTGTGCTCCACGAGTACGTCAAAGACGCTAGTGCAATGTCCTTTCGACACACTCGGGTTGGCTACGACACGACGAGCCAACCCATTGGCATCTACTACGTGCCGATGGCATCGAAAGTTCGATTCGACGACTCCATGGACCTCCTCCACGTGGCCCTCCATCATAGCGACATGTATCTACGGGCAAACGACCTCTACCTCAACAACCACCATCGCGACCCACGACTAGGGTTGCATCTCGCTGTCTTTGACGGTAATTTGACGGCCGTCCAGGGTCTTCTCGCGCACAACCCTGCTTGGGCGTCGGGCGAAGCATTGTCGTGCGCCGTCAAGTTCGGTCACCGCTCTCTGGTCGAGTATTTCGTTCAGGCCCGAAAAAACAACCCGTTGCTTTCGACATATGCGCTTCCGGACGCGAGCCTGGTGCTGGACATCGCCGCGATGCACGGCCATTACGACCTCCTCGAGTACCTGCATCCGTACGAACCGAATGGATGTACATTCCGCGCCATGGATCACGTGGCAGCGCGGGGCAACGTGGCGATGCTGCAAGTCCTGCACACGACACGCAGCGAAGGCTGCTCGACTGCAGCTATGGACACGGCGGCGACATGTGGACATTTAGAAGTCGTGAAGTTTCTACATGCCCACCGCCAAGAAGGGTGTACGACCAAGGCGTTGGACGGCGCGGCGCGAGAAGGCCATCTGGACGTCGTGCGCTTTTTGAGCGAGAACCGCCGGGAAGGGTCGACACCCGCGGCCCTTCGACTCGCGGCGGAACATGGCCATCTGGAAGTGCTCAAGTTTCTGCATGTTCGGCACCGCGTGGGGTGGTGCGCGCACTTGTTGGACGCGGCGGCGCGTCATGGCCACATGGACATCGTCATGTACTTGCACGATCGCGGCGAGCGGTGCTCGTCGGCGGCGATGGACTTTGCCGCAGCCAATGGCCATTTGGAAGTGGTCCGTTTTCTCCACACTCATCGCCGGGACGGTTGTTCCGTGCACGCAATGGACCTGGCGGCAACAAATGGACATCTGGAACTTGTGAAGTTTCTTCACACCAAGCGCATTGAAGGGTGCACGACAGCCGCGATGGACGGGGCGGCGTGGCATGGTCATTTGAAAGTGGTGCAATTTCTGCATGAGAAACGGAGGGAGGGGTGTACACGGGGCGCCATGGACTGGGCGGCGACCGCTGGACATTTGGCGATTGTGCAATTTCTGCACGAGCGGCGGACCGAGGGGTGTACGACCGTTGCCATGGACGGCGCCGCATGGAACGGCCATCTGGACGTCGTACAGTACCTTCACAAACATCGTAGCGAAGGATGCACCAAGGCTGCCAAAGACAACGCCCAGCGAAACGGACACACGCACATTGTCACATTTCTCGACCTGACGCGGCTCTACACGACCAAGAAGCCATCGTCGCCGCCACCGCCAAAGCCAACCAAGGCAGAAAGCGGCCAGTCGATGTGGCAAAAGCTCACGGGGGCCATGATGCCCCGTCGACGCCGCATTAGGCAAGAAAGAATGAGTGGACTGCCCATGTAAGGGCACCGGAAGGTGACCGACCCAGTGTGCATGTCTAGTCAATTTTGGAACAGTTAATGTAATAATGTATGTGGAGTAGACTTGCTACTTACTGTACGACATGACGTGCAGCAGACGGTATCTCGTACTACTAGTACTACTACTTAAAAGTACGTAGTATTACTACGTAGTCCGTGGGGGAGTTGGAGGCAACTGAGCGATGATTTCCACCAACATTTGTGAAAATATGAAATCGATCATCGTGGTTACATAAATACGCGATCCCACGGACAACCTCCCTAGATGTTGACGGTGGGCTGCTGTTGACTAGGGCCATTCCCCCCATGCATCGCGGCGGCGGCGGCGGTCGGCTCCGCTTTTGCGGCGCGGTGGCCAGCAATCACATGCAACTTCTTGTGCCTGGCAAAGTTGGACACTTGGGTGAACTTCTTCATGCAGCCAGGGAACGGGCACTCGTATGGCTGGACGCCGGCATGCATCCAAATGTGCTCCTTCAAGCTCACGCTATGCGCGAACCGTTTGCCACACCCGTCGTAGTGGCACACGTAGGGCTTGATGCCTTCGTGGCTGCGCTCGTGTGCGCGCAAGTTGGAGCTATGCGCGTATGTCTTGCCGCAGTTCGGGTGCGAACACACCAGCGGCTTCTCGCCCGTGTGGGTGCGCACGTGGTTCTGCAGCTCGGACCGGCCGCGAAATTGCTTGTGGCACATCTCGCATGCATGGCGTTGGGACGGCTGCGTTTTGGACTTGGCTTGCTTCACTTTCGAGTACATTTCCACTTGCTCCATGAACTTGACCTGGCCATTGCTCTGGAGCTGTTGTCGCGTCGCGTGGTCCACCATCGCGGACGTGACCGTGTGGCGGCGTTTGTTGGATGGGTGATCGGGATTGGTATTGTCGTGGATGCGGGGTGCTTCGTAGTTTTCGATGCTCTGGAGAGAAATGGGCTGGGACCCACCCTTGGAACCTCCCGCGTTTGTCAAGCTCTTGACGTATTCGTCCAGTTCGGAGAACGCATCGCGCACATAATCGCTGATGGCCCACACCGTGTTTTCATGCATCTGTTCCAAGTCGAACACGTACTCTTCATCCAACTGCCGGACCGTGTCGGGCTGGTACTTCTTGATCACGTCGATCAATCCACGCAAGTATTGACTCGGTAGCATCGTGATGCGGTGAACCAGTCGCTGCTTGTCGTCAAACGTCATGGGCTGGACATCCGCGGGGTACATAAAGTCGGACGCCGTGCTTTTCTGTTTTGGTTCGACGTCGGGATGAAACGATGGCATACTCATCATGTGCATGGATTGATTCATCGGCAAAATGCTGCTGATGGAGAACGTCGACGAGTTACGCTGCTCTAAGGACGGAAGCGAGTTTGGCATGCCGTACATGCCCATGTGCAGCCCAACCATGCCGCTCGAAGACATGCCGGAGGATTCACGGAGCGTAGCGCTGCGAGTCCGCTTCAGACCGGGATGGCTCGGCGGAAGGCCGTTACCACCACCGGGTTGGTTGTTGTTCGTTAACGAAGTATCATGCGTGGCAGGCGACGTGTCGTTCGCTTTTCGGGACATGAGAATTTCTCTTCAGATCCACGAGCGATTGGGGGGTGAATTTGAAAATGGCGAATGTGGGTAAGTTCCGACCACCATTCTTTGAATTATACTTGATTTTAGTATACTAGAGCACCCCCATACAATATTATTATTGCTGTGACAAAATTGGAAGACTCGTAATATTATTTTGATTTCACGACGAATTACTTGACTAATTTATGCTTATTTAAGCACAGACCTTAAAAGTATTGTGTACTGAAAAGCTTGCTTTTGTGCGGACATGTGATTGGCGGAATATTGCATGCATTCCTTTATATATTTGAATTATTTTTATCTAGCCAATCAAAGAACTCTATAATTCAATTGTAGCGCTCGGATTGGTTAATTCCCCTAACCCTGTCAATCACCATCACTCACTCCCAACCAACCGTCATTTGTGTCGAGTGTTTGTTCGCTCGTGATCACCGTGCCCCGGGGCACATTTTCTAACCAACATGATGGCGCCATCATGGGTACTCCTTGTGGCAGCGGTGGCGACTGTCCTTCTCCATAGCGTGTATGCGTCGTCGAATGCAGCCGTGCTGTACCCCAACCAACTGCAAACCCATCAAGTGATCTACCCCAATCAGCCCGTGGTGTATGAGCTTCGAACAGACGCAGATGTATCGTACGAGGTGAAGTTGTCGTATCGCGCGACAACTCCGAGCAAGTTCACCCTTCGCATCCTCGATTCAACGGAGGGCCTCCACAAGGATCGTGCCCAGTACAAAAACATGCGACGCATCTTGAACACGGAGAAGACATTCGTCCGCGGCATTGCGGACAAAATCTCCTACGTTCAGGTACGAGATCCCATTCTCTGGAGCTTCAACAAACTCGTTGATAAAGGACGAGGTAGGTGTCCATGCAAGTCGAAGGCATTTCATACCTCCTGACTCAAGCCGAGATGGACGCGAGACGGACAGAGTTCGACATTCTCCTCGAAGACGTGGTGTTGCAGGTCCTTCCGCGCAGCGCGATCCCGCTGATTGTCGTCGCCGTGATCTTGTTGCTTCTCATGTTTGTCTGCGTGTATCCTCGCGTGATGCAGTTGCTGTCGCCAGACAACGTTATCATGAAATCCCATTGAGTATATTAAGTCATCCCCGAAAGCACAGGTTACGCTCCAAGCCGCCGATTCCACAAAACAGCAAAGTGCACATAACTGACGTACTAAGCAGATGCAATCCAGTGCATGCATTGTACACATTGCAGTGCGCATAAGCAGCCACCGAATGCAATGGACTGGTTGGCTACATATGACGTAGCTACAACCGCCACGCATCCTCGTTACAGCGCGAGGAGCTCGGACAACGAGGGCTTAGCATTACTGGTGGCCGTCGCAGGAAACATGCGCTGGACCTTGATCACATGCAAGTGCGTCTTGAGCTTCACATGATGGTCTTCCAGGAGCTTGTTGAGCGGCATGAGTTCGTCCACTGTCGTCATGGCGTTCCCGCTCAGGGTCAACGACTGCAACGTGGCGTTGCCGACGCCGTACACGACGCCGTCGACGGTTTCCGTGTCGGGCACATTCAGTTCCTTGATCACGTCTGCTCGTTCGAGCTTCTTTTTTTGCTTCTTGGCCGCTTCCAGCTACAACCTCGACAGGATTGAGAGAAAGAACGCCACCTTCCATGCCTAGCACAACGGGTTTACCGCGGCTTGGATTTGGACTTCGACTTCGGCGGCATGCTGCAGTTGATCGTCGCGGAGAATGTACCGCGTGAGGCCGCGAATCATGGCTGTGGCGCTACGAGGAACGTTCGTGGAACGTTCATGGAAACACATTGTTCGGGTAGTGTAGTACTGCAGTACCCTTGACTCGTGATGTGGTTGTTGGCGACAGATAGATGCAAGAGCGTCTTGTTCTCGGTCAGTGCGTATGCCAGGGCGGCGGCGCCGTCATCATGCAGGTCGTTCCGGAACAGATTCAGCACGGCCAACTTGGTGTTTGCCTTCAGCATGTCGGCGATGGCTGCCGCGCCTACACACATTCCAGGTGACGTTGTTGCGGACTAGTGCGTGAGGACGCGTGGACAGAATCGTTACCAGCGGAAGTGATGCCATTAGCACGCAACGACAGGCTAGTTATGGACGACTGAGGAGACAGCAAGTTTGCAAAGCTAGCTCGAGCCACGGGTATATGAATGACAGCTGGTGGTTGTGAAGTGTACCATGTGGTATGGTCGGGGGCGTCGGCAGCAGCCGCGGGTGGAATAGCGTTCCATTCGAGCTGTAGGTTCTTGATGCAAGTTGATGGAAACTTTACACACACAAAATCGAGTTGGTCGATGGTCAATGCAACATTGAACAGCCTGGCGGAGTGGTGAAATGGAGTCGGACAGTAAGGAGCTACGCGTACTTGACGGTGTGGATGGCAGGACAATTGTGCAGGGCCAGGGACATCACCTTGAGACTCGCCCCATCCAGCATCCAGTTGCGCACGTTTACGGTGTCAGTGTCGGATTCGTCGTAGCCTTGCACTACGGAACGTGGGGTCGTCACGATGTTGCGGTGATTGTGTGTGACGAAGATGGCCAACGATACCGAGCAAGTCCTTGTCTTCTTCGTCTAGCTTTGGACACAACTTGGGATGGGGCGTCACGTTGAGGAGCTTGCAATACGCAAAGAAGTCCTTGCGAAACGATTTCTGGGATTGAAACCCTTGCGTTGCTACACAACGAACGACACCACCTCCGTGAAGACGACTTCAACACAAGTCCTTACACCAACGAAGTACCATCTTGCAGCTCCTTGTCGTCTAAAATCCAGTGGGCATTGTTGGTCTGGACTGACCATGCCGCGCCTAGCATCTCTAGAGGCGACCGAGAAACCGTTTCACCAAAACTGCTGACATCCCAATACCAGGTATTTCTTTTAGGAGGTCTTTAGAAACCTGTACGAAATGATATTAACGGTTGCGTAAGATCGACAACACTAAAAAATTTCACAAAGGCATGCCGACGGAAGGCACGAGTACCCGCCTCTTGGTAGGCACGTACACACGCAAGGAAGACCATGTGGATGGACAAGGCAAGGGGATCTACACCGTATCCATCGATCACGCATCAGGGAAACTGACGTTGATCCATGTCAATGACAACACGGGAATCAACCCATCGTTTGTCGTCGTCAAAGCCAACGCCGTGTATGCCGTCAACGAACACTCCGACACGCTCAAAGACACTTTCCCCAATGGTTCCGGCTTGGTTGCGTCGTTTAGTCTGGATAACCTTGGCAGGCTCACGCGTACGTCCGAGCATCCATCCCGAGGGGGGTTTCCGTGCCATGTGTCCATCGACCCCACCAATTCGTTTGTCGCCGTGGCCAACTACGGCGGCGGAAACGTCACCGTGTTTCCCATCGATGCTCATGATGGTAAACTCCATGACCACTCGGGCTTTGCGCAGATGACTGGGGCCAGTTTGGCGAACCCCCAACGCCAGGACGGCCCACACTGCCACAGCACGACGTGGTTGTCCCGCAGCACCCTGGCTGTCCTCGACTTGGGCACCGATACCATCTCACACCACTTGGTGCATGCGAATGGTGCTGTCATGCATATCACCAATAAATTGCTCAACCTTGTTTTATGTATTAGGGGCGCTGGCCATCCATCCCGACGCTCCAGTTGTGGCGCTTCCGCCTGGGTCTGGTCCCCGCCATTTGACCTTGCATCCAACGTTACCACTGGCCTACGTTGTACACGAACTCTCGAACAACCTCTCTGTCCATTCCATCGACGCCGCCGTCCTATCGCCAAACCCCGTCCAAGTCGTGTCACTATTGCCCCATCCTTCAACCTCCCAAGACCATGCAACGGTCGACGGTAGCATCGCGGCGGAAGTTCGTGTGTCCAAATGCGGTCACTTTATCGTGGCGTCCATTCGGGGCATCGACCAACTCGCCGTCTTCCGCATCACGTACCCCTCGGGGTTGCTGGCGGCGCCGCAGTTTGTGTCGACGCAGGGCAGCGTGCCACGTCATTTCACACTCGTGGGAGACGATCTTGTGGTCGTGGCCAATCAAAACTCGCACTCGATCGTGTCCTTCCAGCTGTCCCCTGCCGACGGACTCGTGCCCACCGGCCACGCGCTGCACATTCCGTCGCCGTCGTGTGTGGCCGTCGTGTTGTAGTTGTGTACTAGTAGTAGCTAGTAATACTAAATCTCGACCACAAACAAGGACATTGCCATGAGGCGTCCGCGGGTTCCGTCCGTGACCCGGTTGCCTAGGACATTCAATCGAAGTAGCGAGAAATTCTTGGCTTGGGCTTCCACGAGCAACATCCCTTCTTCTGTGACGTGGTTGAACGACAGGTCGAGATGTCGGAGACTTTTGTTGACGCACAGACTTCGCACACATCCTTTGATGCCGTCGGCCCCCACGGTGTTGTGGGCTAGGTGCAATTCCTACCAAAACGGTGTCACACGTCAGCACATCACTGACATTGTGTGTTTTCGTTTGAAACAAACAGGACATGCCAAGCGAGTGTATATATGGGTAGCATTGTGCAAAGTGCATAATATATGGTACACATTATCAGTCTGAATCATGAATTGAGAATACCAAACTTTGGTTGAAAGGACATTTACTACGACATTGCCAATGCAACGTACGACTAGTGCCGTGTTGTGTGCCAGCTGGCTGAACAGGACCAAGCTCGTCTCGCCGTCCATTTCGGCGTACGACAAGTCCAGTACCGTCAACCGTGACGTGGCAACGATCTTGGCCAGGTGCTCACACCCTTCGGCGTGGATTTTGGACTCGGCCAGCACCAAGTACCGCAAACTACCAGTCGACAAGTCAATGGGCAACACGAATGAATGACTAGGCTACTCACGAGTGGTTGGACTCGCCCAGCGCCAGCGCCAGCTGCTCGGCACCAACGACGCCAACACTGGAACCGGGGTACACCATCAGATCGCCCTTCATGTTGAGGCTCGTGAGCGACTTGTTGACACGCAGCATGCCGGCCATCGCGACGGCGCCGTCCGTTTCCATGTGATGCCTTTCAATGTCGAGGACCGCCAAGGTCTTGTTTATGCACAGCGCGGCCGCAAGGGCCCGCGCGGCGTTGGTGCCAATGTCATTCCATCGCAAATACAGCTCTTCCAAGCACGCGTTGCCCGCTAAGCCGGTGCTGATGGCGGCGATCCCCGTAGCGCCGATGGCGTTGCCTCGCAAATCCAATCGTTTCAGGCACCGATTCGCGCGCAACGACGTGGCGAACGGCAACACGCCGACGTCGTCCAAGTTGTTCCAGCTCAAGTTCAACAACGTAATCGACCGATTGTGCTCCATGCATTCGGCAATGGCTTTCCCGCCCAACTGGTGCAAGTTGTTGTGTTCAAGAGACACCTACATCGTGTGAAATAACACCGAGGCACAGTTTGGAATGATTGATTGGTACGGAGAGCAAGATTGGGTGGTTGCGCAGGGCATCGGCAAGCCGCATGCCGGCGTAATACGTCAAGTTCGAGCTGTTGATCAGCAAGTTGGCCAACCGCACGTGGTGGCGAATACGCGTGCAAATGTACACGGCTTCGTATCTACAAGGGAAGCAAAGCATGCAAAATGAGGGCGCATACTACTACTACAGACAGTTAGGTATACATACGTACACGGCCAAGGTCAAGTGACACATGTCCAAGCTGGCGCTGTCCGGTGGCACGTGGAGTTCGTTGAGTATGGTCGTTCGGCGGTTCACACCAAAGAGTACCGTGACGATCCAGTTGTCCAAGGGGTGCGTGAACTGGTCCTTGGCGTACGTAATCTCGTCCGCCTACCATCGTCATCATCGGCATTGGCATGACGATGATGCGTGTACCGTGTCCGAGTTGCCGCGAAGTTGCTGCACGTCCAAGTGACTCGTAGCCACGCAAATCGTCTGCAGCGTGTTGTTGTGGACCAACGCCAGCCCCAACGCTTCGCCGACGACGTCCGACACGTCGTTATCGTGCACGTCGACTCTTTCCAAAGTCGGGCAGTCGACGATCGCCGTTACAATCGCCAGGACGCTCTCGGACCGAAGGGCGTTCGAGCTCAGATCAAGCTCCATGAGAACTTTGTTCATGGGCAACAACGCCTGCCAAGGCAAGGCATAGTACATTTTAGATGGCAATTTTAATATCATGTCATGCGAATAGACAAGCAAATTGTACCGATAAGATCATCCCGTCGAGCTCGTTCAGGCGCGTGTGGGCCATCTTAACCCACCGCGAGGCCCGGATTTTCCCCACCGGCAGCTGTACACCCGTGAGATTGCACGTCTCGAGAGCACATGTCGACCGCCGGAGAGCGTCCATGATGGGCGGGGCATGGCTTCGGTTCAGGCGGTCGCGGCGAAGGCGCCCCGACTGATTTTGTTCCGACACATCCTCAGACTGCAGGTGGAGCGCGGTCAACGTGTAGTTACGACGCAGGGACGCGAGCAGGCCCGCTTCGTGGACGCAGCACCCCGCCAAGTTCAGAGATGTGAGCGACTCGTTCACTTGTAAGCATGCCGACAGCGCGTCAGTGCTGCCTTCGCCCAGCGGGTTGAAGCTCAAGTCGAGGCCAAAGATCATCGAGTCCTGGTTGTCTTGGAGGGCGTGGGACAGCACCTTCATGCCCTTGGACGTGATCGCGTTGTGATGCAGGATCAACTGCGTGAGCGACGTGTTGGTGTGAACCATCGCCGCCAGCGCGTACACAGCGTCGTCACCGACGGCGTTGTGCGCGGCATTCAGCTGCAGGATGCTTCGGTTCGTCCGACATACCTGAAAGAGCACCTTGGCGCAGGCCACGTCCAAGCCGGCCCCCTCGACGTCCAACGTCACCAGCGTCATGTTGTACGCGACCCCCAACGTGGCCACCAACTTCCACGACGGCAACTTGACGCGGCGCATGGTCAACGTCTCGGGGGACTTGAGGCAGTTGGACCGGAGCAACTTGACCTGCTTCGACCAACGGACCCCCAACCACATGTGGTCCTGGAACCCGATTTCTGGGGGCGATGAAGGGAGCTGTACGGCCAATTCGGCCCGCAGCGCTTCGTCATCTGTCGGCGGCGTGAGGGCCACCACTACTTTTCGCAGCTGAAATCGACGAGTGAGGGATAGGCCATTCGATTGCAGTCGTTTGGATAGGAAGAATGAAGGGGCCACGGACTTCTCGTCGGAGAATCGAACTTGCTTGACGAGAGTACGCACTGCACTTTCGTTTGTGGTTAAAGGGGGAATGGTACTAGGAGGGGGTGCAACGCCCTTCGATGATGGTAAACGTAAGGGCTCCACTTGCAAAGACTCTGGTGCGTTGTTACTCAGCTCGACGGTCTTTCGCGGATGATTTCCAGTGGGTTGTGTATCGCTAGTTGCTGTGTCGCTGTCTGTATTGGCGGCATTGATAGGGCTATCGTTGCCTCGTGGTGTGGGAGTCTCATGTGTCGGTGTTGCTGCTTCCGTCTTATGTGGCGTAAGGATCGTGTTGGGGGATGCAGCCTGGCTGGGAACTGGAGGCGATATGGTAGCACCATTTGTTACTTGCACCATAGTTTCCTTTTCCATAGCTCCCTCGTCCACGATCACTACTCGTTGACCTTCGGTTTCCCCAGCAGTTATGTCCGTCGCCATCATCAAGTCGCCGTGATGGAATGCCGGTTTCACATTGTCCGTTACATATATTAATATTGAAACTGTCCCGGCTACGACAAATATATCAATTCGTCATCATTATTGGAGTGATTGATGCCATCATGTATACTAAACTAGTAAATAGCCCAAATCATCACCATCTCTTTAAGTGTTACTAGGACCATCCCCTGGAAGCAGAGGTGCAGATACGACGCAGGACCGCGTCCTTTGATCCACTGCCTCTTCCAACCGAACTTGCGTTTCAATTGACGCCAGCACCCGTTTGGCGTCTGCGAGCTCGCGCTCCTTGTCTGCGACGATGTCCCAAAACATGCTGTAGCGCGCCAACTCTTGCCGACGGACTTGGATGGTGGCGTGCAGCTGCTTCTGGCGCTCGCCTAGCGTCGCCTCCTCCGTCTTTCCGTCCTGGGTGGTTGTCTCTATGCGCTCAAACTCTCGCTGCCATGCGATGGTGTACGCACGTTGTCGCACGGTCGTGTCCTGGCTATACGATTCGAACGTGGCTTCGTCCTTGATGTACACGCCATCTAGCACCAAGCCATGGAGGATATATCCATCAACCATATTCGAATGCTAAAGCACAGTTGACATTACCAATAGACATGTTGTCCTGGGCATATGCCAAGCGCTCCACCACCCGCGCCGCCCGCTCGGCCACGACGGCGCGCTGCTGTGTCCGAGACGCGAGGTTCACACTGTCCATGCACGACTGCATCGACGACTCGACCGGCCCCACGAAGTCGTTTTTCTTGAATTCGCCGCGCACAACCGCGCCGTTCCACTCGGTCCACTCCCCCAAACCATGCTGCGCGTTGTCTTGCCAGCGTCCGCGGTATTTCTCCCCCACGGGAACCATGTACACGCCATGACCGTCGCGTTGGTCGCGTTTGAACTCGCCTTCATACCGAGACCCGTCGGGGAAGCTATATACGCCGACGCCATCCCTCTTGCCAGCGACGTATTGTCCGGCGTAGTGCCCTCCCGCATGAAAGTACATGCATCCGTGTCCGTGCGGAAGTTTGTCTATCCAGACATCAAAGCTTGTGAGACCAACCATTTGATTGCAATGGTAGGCTGCATGAGAATTTACCTGCATTGAGATGGCCATGGTACAACGACTTGTCAGCGAGGGTTGTCATTCCCACTAACAAAGGTGGCGTGTCCCCCACATCCATCGTCCCATCATCTTGCTTCTTGTTAGGTGTCGCGTTTGCATTCGGTTCCTCTATCGCGGACGGAATTGGTGGCCGCGGGCTATGGACTGACGTCTTAGCCGCTTCTTCCACACCTTCTCGTCGTGGTTCATGCATGAACTGTCTTGCTCGCGTTTCTGAAACCGTCGACCTAGTACAGTACACTGTACGCATTATCCGGATATGTTATACAGTGCAGAAAAGTTAGTTTATGTCACACCTTGCAACAAACTCATCAACGGCTGCGTTCGGAGCATGACTGGCGCTACCCAGCCGCGAAAGCGGCTTGCGTCCGACGACGTTATGGCAAACTTATCTACTTCCTTCGACGCATTTCGACGGCGCATCAGCGGTTTGGCATCGCCCGACGCCACGACGACGAATCCAGGCAGTCCGATGACGACCATGCCACCACCCCAACTGCCAGAAGCGGTGTCCGAGTGTAGCGTGTGTCTGTGTAGCCTGGGTCTGCTCAAATTCAAGTACGTGTGCAAGAATTGCGACAAGACCGTGTGTGGCGCCCATAGCAAGAACCAAATCCCGTTGCCCGACATGGGGGTATGGAAAGAAGTGCGTGTGTGCGACGTGTGCTATGAACAGCGGCTCAAACGTCGCGCCGGCGCGATCGAGACCTCGGACGACGCCCCAGGCGACGACGACACGTCGCTGTGCGGGATCTTGTTCAGCGGACTCGTGGAGGAGCAAGACGATACTCTCGACGAGATGCTGTACCTCGGGTCGTTCCGCATGGGCAGCCGGTCGTTGGCGAGCCGCAACTTCAACCCGAACATGGCGATCTGGATCGAGCGGATGGTGATGCTCACACCGGCGGAGCTTCTGTCGTTCAAGCCGCAGAAAGACAAGGACAAGGAGGAGTTTCTTCTCGGCATTGGCGAAGTTCGGTCGTCCATCCACATGACTGACATCTTGCACATCGACGTCGACGAGCACTACCCGCGCATCCTCACGCTGGTGCGATCCGATGGCCGGTACGTCGGTTCGTATATATCCATCCATTTGGTTTATGTCTTAATGGGGCGCTGTAGAATCTACCGCCTTCGCGCCAAAGACATCGAAACGTGCGCCGCCATCACCAAGAAGCTCCAGGAAGCGATGCACCTGTTCCAAGCGGCGTTGCATAAGCTCCAGCGCGGGCTGCGACCGGAAGACAACGTCGTCGCATGTGTGACGGTGCAGCACCACCCGTCGCTCGACGAGATCGTCGTGCGTGCCGGCACCGGTCCGGACGACAGCACCCCCTCCCGCCCCCAGTTCCTGGTCGAGCTGTACCCTGCGTCGGTCGTACGACTGTACGCGAGCAGCCCCGTGGTCAGCGCCGTCGCCACGTACACGGTGCCGGAGCTCTTCCAACAAGTCAAACGGTGCGACACTGTCCGCGGAGCGACCTCAACAGACGAGCACCAGTTGGTGACCCACGTCGACATTGGTAAGATTTCTCAATGTATTCCTAGTTGAAACTGAACAAACTCTAGAACGCATGCCCCCCCAAGGGGGATGGGCCAGCTATGGATGGTTGGGCGTGGGGTTGGCAGCAATAGGCGTCGGCAGTGGCGTAGTGCTGCTGATGTCCGCTCAGTCGCCGCCCGCCCTGCCGCTGCTGCTGCTTCCTCCTCTACATTCGCTCCTTCCATGGCTCGTGGTTGCATTGATGGCACTGACGTTGTCGTTTGCAAAGCATTTGAACGTGATGGTCCGGACGTGGCAGCTGTGGGGGCCACAGATGTTCCGCCTCGTGTGTGTAAAAGTCGACTGCATCAAGAACACCCTGCCGCCGTATGCCAAGGACTTGACGGTCGACCTGCGGTTCACGGAAGCGTGCAAGGGAGACGCGGACGAAGCCAAGCGAAAGTACTCCAAGTACCTTGAGTGGCGACACGACCACAATATTGACACCATCTTGCTTCGACCGCACCCGAATTTCAAAGTGGTGAGTGCTTGAGATGATATTTGTCGTGGCCTACATAATAAATAACGTGACCATTGGACACGTTAGATCAAGGAGTCGTACCCACAAGTGACCCACAAGCGAGACAAGCTGGGCCACCTCGTCGCGTTCGAGCTTGCTGGCGGCATGCGCAAAGGCATGCAGGTACAATAAGGCCAGCGACATGGCCATATATGCTGGCAGTAGTAGGTTGACATGTCCATATGCATAGTATTTCCAGTCCAAGGGGGTGACGGAGGAGGACGTGGTGACGCATCTCGGGTTTTACAACGAGTTCTTGTGGACCGTGCTGGATCGGCGGCCGTTTCCGGACGGGGTCATGGTCAAGGTCATCGACATGCAGGGCGTGAACATGGGCGACTTTGGCGGCGACGTGGTCAACTTTATGAAAAAGTGCTCCATCGTAGGCGAAGCGTACTACCCCGAGCGGCTCTACAAGATCTTCATCGTGAACCCGCCGTCGTGGTTTAGCATGGTGTGGAAGGCCGTGTCGCCGCTGGTTAACCCCAAGACGCGCGACAAGATCCACGTCGTACGCGGTCAAAAGGAGATTCAGAAGGCCCTGCTCGAGTTTATCGACGCCGCTAGCCTGCCCGAAGCGTACGGTGGCACGTGCGCCTGCCCGGGGGGGTGTCTGGCGAATTCAGATGACGAGATCCTCCTACGAGAGTACGTGGCCAAGATGAATGCCCCCGCCGGTAGCGTCGACTTGGCGGCCGAGCTCGCAGTTCTGCAGGGCGTAAAGGTACCACCCACGCCAGTTCCAACGACCAAACGGAGTTAGGACCTTAGGATTCAATCGAAACAGTGTCGATGTCTGCAGTGTACTGGTTGCTTTACCTCCTATGAATACTCCCCTTCATGACATGGGAATGCCGACGGATCGTAATTAACAGTTAGAGACGCGTGGTTGGAGACTATTTAAATTGGACAACCGCAGCGCATAAATAACATTACTTCTACTGTAGTAATAAAAACCAATCGACTGTTATATTGGACAAGTTTACGTCGGGTCCAATGTCCACGCCACCGTGACCAGTAACATTGTGAACGTTCCCACGTGAAAGGCTGCTAATTAACAGTAAATACACAAGGTTATGGCAATACATACTAGAGATATCCTCCCTCATAAATCCAACAATGCAACCATACGATATATATATATATTGAACGAAGCACCCACCTCGGTTCCGTGCATGGCTGGTGAAAATCGGCGTCACCATGGTCCGCACAGACTCGATTGTCAGCTGCGACTCGTTGAACAGCACGCCGCGTGCCACAAGGGCGACGGCCAGGTCGTTGTCGGCCGCGGCAGTCACGTCCATGAGGCTGCCAAAGTACGCGGCGGTTCCGTTCAGATCGTCATATGTGTCAAACAGCACGACAAACTCCACAGCCAGCAGCGTTGTCCCGTCGGCCAAGTGCCGATGCTCATGCTGCTGCCTCTGCTCAACGTTGCCCTGTACATCCAACGACACGACAAGGGACTCCAACTGGCGCGAGCTTCCCGCGACCAAATCTTTGACAGATGCGATGTAAACCATGTCCGTGGTGACGCTGAGAAAGTCATCCGACGTGATGTTGGCGACGGCGGCGGCGAAGTCGTACTCGGACCCTTGGAACGACGCGGCCGACGCCCCTTGGATTGTCACGGCGGTCCACAGACTGTACTCCGTCGCATCAGCATAGGTCGAAGGATACGCGCCCGCGCTGCACGTGAGCACGCACCCTGTGACTTGAGTCTTGGCCGCTTGGCACTCTGTCGCAGCGGCATTAAACTCGGCCGCGCAGTTCTGCTTTGCGCACGAGAGCAAGCCCGGGAAGCACGCGCACCCGTCAAACACAGTCATGCAGTTATCAAAGTCCGCTTGACATCTCCCATAGCTGCATGCGTTGGTTGCCCAGTACGACCGACGAGTGTACACGGCTACGACGGTGCGCGGTCGCGGCGCCACGCGCGGCGACACATACACGTACTTGGGAGGCGGTGTGGCCTTTGGCTTTGGTGTCGGGGGTCGCGTGGCCGGAGCTGGCACGGGTCTGGCCGTCGGTGGACGAGCGGCGGGGGTGCCGGGTGCGGGCTTGGAGGCTGGCTTTGGAGCCGGTTTGGAGGCCGGTTTAGGTACCGGCTTTGGGGCAGGCTTCGGGGCAGGTTTAGATTTCGGCTTGGCTCTTTTCTGTGGAGCGTCGTAGGACATCGCAAGTGCGTTCACCTCATGATGTTCGAGCAGTATTGCAAGCACTAGTGCTGCGGCGACCACGATGGATGAGACGACGCGCATGATGACAAGTCAGTGGTTTCATGAAGCGTTTCCGACAACGTTACGACGTTACGATTGAGTCGACGTTGAGGATTCGCTATCATTGCGTTCCCCACGGGTCCATTGGTGGTGCAGGAAGGCAGGAGATGGAGCTGGAGGCCATGGGAGGTCTTCTTTATACCGTGGACATCTGACATGACGCTTTGGAATACGTGGATTTGATTGGTCCGTTTGAACAACCATGGATTTGGAGGATTGTTAAAAAGGACAAACGTCAGAAACGTCAAAACGAAAATGTTCCGACGGATCGTCCAGCAGCACTACGCGCCAGCGATCGGTCGTCGGAGCATGACACACGAAGCGCGTATCCGCAACAAGGGCGTGGCGCTACTGTCTGGATTGGACCTCCAGCTCGGTGGGTCCCTCAGTGAGGTACAAGTCACGTACGAGCAGTGGGGCGACCAAACCCTCGACGACGACCGCACGATTGTGATCTTCCCGTCGTTTTCGCATTCGTCCCACGCCGCGTCCAACCGTGACGACCCTCGTCCTGGCTGGTGGGAAAACATGATTGGGCCTGGTAAAGCCATCAACACGTCCGCGTTCCGCGTCATTTGCCCGTCTGTGCTCGGAAGTCCGTACGGGTCGACATCGCCGTTGACGATCGATCCCACGACTGGCAAACCGTATCGAGGCACGTTTCCCCAAATTACACCCGCGGACATGGTACCCCTAGTCACGAGTATACGGTCTCCAGCTATGTGAACCTTCCATGCTAGGCCAAGGTGCATGCCAAGCTTCTGGACTACCTTGAAGTCGGCCGTGTCCACGCAGTCGTCGGCGGCAGCATGGGCGGCATGCAGGTACCTTCATCTTCAACTGTGTATGTTCCAAATGTAATGTTATCGATACATACAGGCCGTGCAATTTGCATCTCTTTTCCCCGACCGGTTGGACCGCCTCATCGCCATCTCATGCACGGCGCAAACGACGCCAGGCACAGTCGCGTTCCGCCGCGTGCAGCGCCTTGCCATCCTCTCCGACCCAGCGTACAACGTATGCAAACCCCCATCACCATCCCCCCCATCGTGCAACATGTCTTGTCCTTTCAAACATCCATCATCGTCATGCGGCCGTAGGACGGAAACTATGTCCCTGGCGTGCCACTGCCTGGCATGCGCGTGGCGCGGGAGCTCGGCATGACGTGCTATCGCTCTCGCGAAGAGTTTGATTCGCGCTTTGACTGGAATCCGTCGGGCTCGACGCACTTCAAGGACGTCACGTTTGACGTTGAGAATTACATGGAGTACCAGGTGCCTAGTACCACTTAGTACCTTCTTGAAGTAGTACCTAGTACCTACTTGAAGTAGTACCTAGTACCTACTTGAAGTAGTACTTACTAGTAGTACCTATTGGAAGTAGTACTTTGTACTCTTTCACGTGCTGATGATGGTTGGTTGTAGGCGGCAAAGTTCGCGCGCGTGTTCGACCCAAATTGCTACCTCGTGCTGTCGAAAGCCATGGATCTGACCAACGTCGGGCACGGGTACTCCAACTTGGCGGCAGGCGTCGGCCAGATCAAGAGCGACACGCTAGTGATCGGCGTCAACCAGGACCTCCTCGTGCCGCCCACTGAACAAGCCACGATTGTACGAACCAATGATCTCCTATCGAATCCATCCATCTAACACGAACGACACTAGGCCAACATCCTCGAGTCGTTCGACGTGCCAGTGACTTTGAATCTCCTCAACTCCAAGTACGGCCACGACGCCATGTTCCATCCCCAGGTAACCAAATGGCATCATTTGCATGTTGTGACTATGGCAAAATAGATGCAAACGGTGATCTTTGCCCCGCTGGTACAAGCGCACGTGGAAAAAGGACTGGAAACGCTGGACCACGAGCAGCAGCGATACAGCAACTTGTAATTATATTGGAAATACATGGTGTTTGGGAGTCAGTGGGCATTCATTCGACAGCACGATGAGCGTGGTCGATGAGTTGCCACAGTTCGTTCGCGACGGCAAAGTCGTTGTGCGGCGCTCGCAATTCAAACGTGTGCAAGCTCTGTTGCTCTGGCGCGTGGATACCTACACGCGGCGTGAGAAGAACAAGTGCTTGTGCATTCGAGGGACGTACAGCCAGCGATGTGTTCACTCGAGAAGTCCCACTTGATGCCTGTGATGGACGCATACACTGCGATCGTTTGCCTACGAGTTGGATGGTGTGACAGAAGTCCCGCGTCGTCATAGAATATCGCATGTGGGTACGCACTTTAGGCGGGGGATGTCCCTTCCACTAGCAGTGCATTCCTCTGCGTACTGTTGCTGTGCGAAATCGTACTGCAGAATGAGGTTTTCAATGTTAGCTTCGCACACGAGTTGCTCTTCTTTGAGCTCGTGGAGTTTGTGCTGAAGCTCGTGTTTAAGACGATCCAACTCTTCAATTCGTCGGACCATTTCCGCGCTGTTGTCTCTCTCGTCTTCGTACTGCTGGATTCGCTGAATCTCCTTGACCATATCTAGTGTCATTCACTCGTAAGCATACCAGTAGCATCGTACACTACACCAACCGACTGACCAATGACGGTTTGACGTGCCGACTTTTGTTGGTCGATCAGGGACACCCTCCGGTTGTTAAATGTCGCCTTCAGTTGGAACAAGCGCTCGCCATCCTTCAATCCTTTCTCGAATTCGGCGCCTACTTCCTCACACAAACCCTTTGCTTCGTCCCAGGTGAGCTTTGGCGTGGCATCGTCGCCCATTTCGTGGTCTTCCATGAAAGCGTTTGAATTGGATAAATGCAAAATTCAAACTAATCCGGTTAATTCCCTCGAGCATCCGAATCTTCGTGTGTAGGACATTTGACCTGTGTGAGTGTCCTTCATCCCAGGTGATCTTTCGATATCTTGGGGCTGCAGGTGAGAAGATGTTCTTAAACGGAAGGAACACTACTCCCTGCAGTGGCGCGCAAACTCGTCATTTTTCAAATTCGCATCGAGTAGGCAAGTCGATGGGACAAGGAGAAGGAGCCATGGCTCATCGAAAGGATGGCTGCGATTATGAGAGCCAAGGTAAATACCGTTGCATTCCTACATCTTGTTCAGTCCCCATAGACGATCGGCAAGGACGTGATTCCAGCATTGCCGTGAAGCGCACGCCAGGAATCATCCATCCCACATCGCAACCTGGGCAAAGCGGGCAGATGTCAGCGTTGATCAAGTGCCACAAACCCACTATCGCGAGCACCGCCCCTCCAACAATTCCGATGGAACGTATCGACGACATATTGCTAGAGATGCGTCAAATGCTGGAACGAATGCAGTTGATGGTGCGAAAAGTTGAGGATCAAGCTCAATATCTGCGACCTGTGCAAGGTATGAACGTATACAATTGCACATGACTATTGTCATCAATTGTTTCGTAGAAGTTGTTCCTACCGGTATCTACGAGGAATCGTGCAACCAAGACTTAAGGGAATTCAGCCAGCCCAATGATGCTCTATATAGAGGAAGCGATGTTGATTTACTTGATATTGCGAGCATTTCGTGCTCGACATCACAAGTTTTTCTCCAACCTACCGATCTTGAGGCATGTGATGTTGTTGATTCGGAAGTGTCCCTTCCCAGCGCAAGTGCATGGATTCCATTGACACCCCCAACACCCGAAACAACCAGTCTTGACATCGACTCGTCCTCCAAGAACGACTTTCGTACTCCGGCTGAAGTTCAACATGACTCGCGTATTATTCAAAGCAGCGGTACGTCCGATACAAAACCTCATCAAGGACTTATAGCGTGAGACAAAATATAGGGATCTACAATTGGGACCGCGAAGATGCGTACGGCTAAGTTCCTTTGCCATAGTACCCGTCAACTTAGCCCAAATTGACGTTGTTCGTGCTTTCGTGGAGCAATCTTGACAATGAACTGTTTTGTTGTTTTGATTGATATCAATCTCTTAGTTCTACTCTACGTTTAGACATATACCTGGCAACCGACAATTGGAGGGGTCATCGGTTGGTGTTCCCGACAATTGTAGTGTCATGATTGGCTGAATGACAAGATAATTGCATTTCGTTTAGTGATTGGACGATTCACTTGTCGTGAGAGGACATTTACCCAACATGTAACATGTACGGCCTCTGATAGGTTGAAAGGCCTTGCTATAAATAAAAGGCGACGTTTCATGATTTACCGAACAAATTCTTCATTCAGCATCATGAACGCAACCACCGTGCCATCCAAAGCCACCATTCAAGGGTCGTTCCGGGCTGCGTCGACGACACGGACGTACCTAACCTACCAAAAGCAGTTCTTCCTGTTTTGCCAGGAAGTTCTGGCTGTTGATCCTGCGTCCGCAGGGCCAAGTGCTTGCACGGACTTCTTCCACCATCTATACGGTCAGGGCAAGACAGCTCGCACCGTTGACTCTGCCAAAACTGCTCTTGTCGCATACTTTCGAGACCTCAAGGTCGACCCCAACCCTGCCCGAGACGTCGAATCAAAGCAGTACGTTGTTGGACTGCAAAAGTACAACAAGAAAAACAACATCGACGACGAAAAAAAGGCGCACCCCCTCTCTGTGCACGAGCTATCGTGCCTGGTCAACTCACTTTCGACAAGCCACCTCTTTGTGGGTGCCATGTACCGGTTCCTCCTGAGTGCGAGCTACTTGGGCTGCTTCAGGATCAGCGAAATGCTCAACTTGACGTGGGATGATGTTGCCATCAAGCACGACGGCGACTCCCAGTACGTATCACTTCGGCTCCGGTGGCACAAAAAGGCCAGTGTGCAAAGCGATTGCCAGATTTACCACCTTGTGGACGAGAAGTCCTTTCCTTGCCTGCGCGTGTGCGGTTTGTTTGGTGACTACGTGGATTTCGTAAAGCGGGCGAGTCCCAATTTGGCCACAAAGTCGTTCGTATTTCCGGCGTACACAATTGAAGCCAACGGGACACCGAAGCTCAATTGGTACAAACACCTAGATCAAAACCTAGTACGTCTTTATATAAAAGACGCTGTCCAAAAATGCCCCGAGCTACCGACAGGTAATTTCTTTTATTTAAGTCTTTGAATTTATATTCCATCAATTAACAATTACTCATTCGAAGGAATTACATTGCACAGTATGCGGCGTGGTGGCAGCTTCTACCGCGTGTTTGAGTCACCGGAGCGTCGGTTTAACTTTCGCGAGCTTATGGCGTGGTGCCGTTGGGAAGATGCCAAGACATGTTGTGAATATCTTATCACACGAAGTATCACAAGCGAGGTAGACCCAAAGAATTTGTTGCGAGTCAGTGCTGCTACCACCCCCTTCACAGCCAGCATGGATGCAATCACTGTTCAAGACCTCAGCAA